AGTTTTATTTAAGAAAGGACTTGTATCGCTAAAGTTTCTTCAGAAAGAATTTTTACGGAAAATTAACTAACGGAGGCGTAACAAATTCATGTCAGAAGAGGGATGGAAAAAAATGGAAACGAGAAGTGGCAAATCAAACTACAGCTTAGCAGATTTGATGGCAGCAATAGAAGAACAGCAAAAGAAAGAAGAAGAACGAGAAAAGAAACAAGAAGAAAGATTACAGCAGTTGTTGGATAGAAAAAGAAAAGAAGCAAGAAGAGAGATTACAGCAGTTGTTGGAGGAAAAAGAAAAGAAACAAGAAGAACGAGAAAAGAAACAAGAAGAACGAGAAAGGAAACAAGAAGAGAGATTACAGCAGTTGTTGGAGGAAAAAGAAAAGAAACAAGAAGAGAGACAACAGAAGTGGCAAGAAAACCTGCAACAGTGGCAGCTCGAACAGCAAAATAAACAAGAGAGACTACAGCAGTGGTTGGAGAAGAAAGAAAATAAACAAGAAGAGAGATTACAGCAGTGGCAACTGGAACAAGAAAGGAAAGAGGAAAAAAGTCAACAGCAACTACAGGAAAGTCAACAACAGTGGCAAGAAGTACAAATGGAAAACATTAGTAAATTTCAAAGTGAATTAAATCCATTAAAGGATGATCTATTGTCTTTTACACAAGGAGGATACATTAACCATCAACTTAATCAGCTACAGACAATGCAGCTAAGCCCTAGTGCAGACATCTTCAGTCCTGTTAGAAGTCACATCCCAGATATGAATGCCAGCAATAGGGGTAGTCCAGTATGAAGGAAGCCACAGAAATTCGATGGGAAGGCACGTGGGAAGTGTATAGAGCACAATTTGAGCTACTGGCTGAAATGAATGGATGGACAGAGGAGCAGAAAGCAGTATATCTGGCAACGAGCTTGAAGGGACAACCACTGGAAATACTTGGACAGTTGTCAGCAGATGACAGACACAACTATAGAGCACTGGTAGTGGCTCTAGAGCTCAGGTACGGAACCAAAAATCGGTCAGAAGTCTACAGGGCTAGGTTTAGGACGAGAGTCCGTGCTAATGGGGAGAGCCTGCAAGAGCTGGCACAGGACTTGGAAAGTATGTCACACAAGGCCTACCCAACTGCACCACCCGATCTCCTTAAGTTGTTGCTGAGGGATCAATTTGTAGATGCCTTGGACAGTCCACAACTAAAGATTATTTGTTTATTTGTTTTGAATGTTGTGCAAAACTACACGAGGGCTATCTGTGCTAGCCGTCCCTAATTTAGCAGTGTAAGACTAGAGGGAAGGCAGCTAGTCATCACCACCCACCGCCAACTCTTGGGCTACTCTATTACCAATGAATAGTGGGATTGACCGTCACATAATAACGCCCCCACGGCTGAAAGGGCGAGCATGTTTGGTGTGATGGGGATTCTAACCCGCGACCCTCAGATTGCGAGTCGAGCACCGTAACCACCTGGCCATGCCAGGCCCCAACTAAAGATACAAGTGAAGCAAGCACGCCCCTCTACTATGCAGGATGCAATGGCCAGAGCTATTGAATTTGAATCCTACGTTAAGTCCAGCACAGAGGTACCAAGGTTGGTACAGTCATCTGGATTCAAGGCCAGAAAAGGGCAGCTTTCATAGAGTTTTGAGGGACTTTGCTGGCACTGTAACAAAGTTGGGCACAAGAGAGCTCAATGCTAGCAACTTCAACACAGGGTAGATGATACAGCAGGAAAGGCTGCTACCCAGAAAGGCTATTGGAAGTGTGGAGAGCAAGGACATATGAGGAGCCAGTGTA